CCATATGGAATGCTGGCGCCGCAGGCGGAGGATTAACCAAGTGAGCCATGGCGCCAGCCCCTAAAGATTTATTTATTTATTTGAAAGTCAGAGTTACACAGAGAGAGAGGCAGAGAGAGGGGGTGGTCTTCTATCTGATGTTTCATTCCCCAGTTGGCTGCAGTAGCTGGAGCTGCGCCTATCTGAAGCCAGGAGCCAGGAGCTTCTTCTGGGTCTCCCATGTGGGTACAGGGGCCCAAGGACTTGGGCCATCTTCTACTGCTTTCCCAGGCCTTAGCAGAGAGCTGGATTGGAAGTGGAACAGCCGGGTCTCTAACCAGCGCCCATATGGGATGTCGTCACTTCAGGCCAGGGCATTAACCCACTGTGCCACAATGCTAGCCCCTAAATTTTATTTGTTTGAAAGAGATAAACATAGACAGATATACAGAGATCTTTCATCTGCTAGTTTACTCCCCAAATGCCCACAACTTCAGAGACTGGGCCAGTCTGACGCCAGGAGCTGGGAATTCAGTTCTGGTCTCCCAGTGTGTGTGGCAGGGATTCAAGTAGTTGGCTCACCACCTACTGCCTCCCAAGGTCGACGTTAACAGGAGACTAGAACTAGGAGTGGAGCTGGGACTTGGGACCTGGGTATGCATATTGATATGTGATGGTGATATCCTGATCAGTGTCTTAACTGCTGCCACTGTAAATACCCTCTTTTTTTTTTTTTGACAGGCAGAGTGGATAGTGAGAGAGAGAGACAGAGAGAAAGGTCTTCCTTTTTGCTGTTGGTTCACCCTCCAATGGCCGCCGCGGCTGGCACGCTGCGGCCGGCGCACCGCGCCTATCCGAAGGCAGGAGCCAGGTGCTTCTCCTGGTCTCCCATGGAGTGCAGGGCCCAAGCACTTGGGCCATCCTCCACTGCACTCTCTGGCCACAGCAGAGAGCTGGCCTGGAAGAGGGGCAACAGGGACAGAATCCAGCGCCCTGACCGGGACTAGAACCCAGTGTGCCGGCGCCGCTAGGCGGAGGATTAGCCTACTGAGCCGCGGGACAGGCCGTAAATACCCTCTTTTTTTTTTTAATATTTTATTTATTTATTTATTTATTTATTTTTTGACAGAGTGGACAGTGAGAGAGAGAGACAGAAAGGTCTTCCTTTTGCCGTTGGTTTACCCTCCAATGGCCGCCGCGGCTGGCGCGCTGCAGCCGGTGCAACGCGCTGATCCGATGGCAGGAGCCAGGTGCTTCTCCTGGTCTCCCATGCGGGTGCAGGGCCCAAGCGCTTGGGCCATCCTCCACTGCCCTCCCTGGCCATAGCAGAGAGCTGGCCTGGAAGGGGGGCAGCCGGGACAGAATCCGGCGCCCCAACCGGGACTAGAACCCGGTGTGCCGGCGCCGCAAGGTGGAGGATTAGCCTAGTGAGCCATGCCGCCGGCCTGTAAATACCCTCTTAATATCTATCCAGTACCCTGCATGTCTTGATTATGTCTGAATTAATCTCTTACGGAGGCTTTTGCCCTCTCTTGGTTGGACTGATTGAGTTCTAGGTTTCTTCTGCAGTTGTCATTTGGAATGTCTTTTCACCGTCACCCTGGAGGCTCCTTATGCCTTTCTCTTGCTCTGGGTTAAGTGGGTCCTATGTCTGTCTTTCCTGATAACTATGCTGTCACTTTGCTGGAGCACAGCTCTGGTAGTTTCCTGATAAAAGTTGCATGGCAAGTAAATCTGTTGCCATTTACAAGTCTGGATATGACTTGAGTGTTTGAATCTGTCCAATCATATAACTGACAGTTAAATTCTAAGGTGGACATTGTTTTCTCTCAGAATTTTGAAAGCATTGCTGTCTAGTCTTCTACCTTTCAGTTGTGAAGGTTGGTGCTGTTTTGATGATAGAGTCTTTGTAAAACTATTTTGCTTTTCTCTCTTCAGAAACACAGAATCTACTTTATTCTTAGCATTCTAATATTTCATATTACATGCCTTGATTTGGATTTGTTTCATACATTTTGCTGGATAATAGTTTCTGTCAACTTGTAAAGGGGAACTCCTGAGAAATTTTGACACATCATTATTTTGATGATTTCCACTCTTCTGATTTCTCGTTCTTTTCTCTTCTAATTCCTGTTATTTGATGTAGATCTCTTGTGCAAACCCTTTAAGTTTTATTCCTGTTTAGCCATTTCTTTGTCTTTGTGCTTCCTCAGTATTTTCTTCCAAAGCCTTTTTTGAGTTTGCATGTCTCTATCAAAGTATCACTTTCTGAGAGTTCCTTTTTATTTTTTTTGTATTGTTCATATAAAAAATAGTATCCTGTTTTTGGTTTCAAATGTACAATCAGTGTGTTCTTTATGAGTTGTAGATAGAGGTTTTACTTGAATAATCACAGTTCCTCTCTTGCTCTGTTTTAAGTTTGTCCTTCAAATTAGAGGCATTTGTCCAATGTTAGATGGGAGATGTTTGAAAGCTCTCTCTGCCTCAGGTTTGTTCACAGGGGGAACCCGTGTGGGGTGTTAGGCTTCGTCATTTGCTTCTAGGACCTTTCCTTTCCTTCTATAGGCATTTAGTCTTGAGCTGATCAGATTCTTCAGAGAAAGCTGTTCCAGCTGCCAAGACGGTGTTAGCAGTCTGGGTGCTGGGTCGGGAAGAATGCTTTGGGACCCCAGTATTCATTTTGTAAATGTGTACTTAATCTCTCCTTTTCACTGAAATACTGTCTGCTCCCTGTGCTTGGTGTCTCTCATTGGGAGAGACTTTTTGTTTCTAAGCCTCTTGTTTTCTGTCAGATTGGGAGGGGCCTTCACTGATCTTGCAGAGTTAGGAAGAGTCTAAATCTTATTAACTTTCAACTGATCTCTCTCTCATTCCATATTCACCTCTGCTTCAGGAGGTACATGGTGCTTACAGTTCATTCTCGAGCCTTTTGGGATTTCTGTGATCTGAATCGTATTTCTTCTTAGCTTTTTCTGCTCTAATTTAGGATTCTGGTTTTTTATTTTGACAAGTCAGCAAATATTATCTTAGAAACTAAAAGCATTATCTGTTTTCAGCTTCTAAAACTTGTTGCTATTCTTTTTTTTTCTTTTCTTTATATCTTTACGAGTCTGTTCTTTAAGAAAATATTCTGTCGTTTCTGTGGGGTTTTAGGAAGAAGTAGCAGCTCATGTTTGTGCTCAACCTGCCATTTACAATTTTTTTTAAAAGATTTATTTATTTATTTGAAAGGCAGAGTGACTGGGGAAAGACAGACACACATACACATACACACACACACACACACACACACACCCCACACATACATATCTCCCATATAGTGGTTCAGTCTCCAAATAACTGTAGCAGCAGATCTGGACCAGGCCCAAGCCAGGAGCCAGGAATGCCATCCTGATCTCTCACATGGGTGGCAGGGGCCTAGCTGCTTGGGCCATCTTCTGCTACCTTCCCAGGAACATTGGCAGGGAGCTGGATTGGAAGTGCAATAGCCAGGACTTGAACATTGTAGGTAGTTGTGTAACCCATTACACCACAGCACCAGCCTCTCAGTCTGCCATTTAAAAACCGAGGTTTTGTGATATTTAAAATTTTTTATTTTATTTATTTGAGAGTCAAAACAGAGATGGAGAGAGAGTGTTTCCAGCTGATGGTTTACTCTTCAAATGCCCATAAAGGGGCTGGGAATGCAATCCAGTTCTGTTACATGGTTTGCAAGGACACGGTTACATGAGCCATCCTTGCAGTTTTCCAAGGGCCACATCAGAAGGAAGTTGGAGTCATGAATCAGAACTGAGTATTGAACCAGGCACTTTGAGGTATGGGACATGGCATCTTAACCACTAGGCTAAGTGCCTGCTTTCATGATATTTTTTAATGGAAAGAAATAAAATAAAAATACATAGGAGCTGGTGTTGTGGCACAGTGGGTGAAGTTGATGCTTGTGATGCTGGCATCCCCTATTAGAGTGTTGGTTCTAGTATGGGTTGCTCTGATTCGATCCAGCTCTCTGCTAGTGTGCCTGGGAAAGCAATGGAAGAAGGACTAAGTGTTCCAACCCTTGCCATGCATGTGGGAGATCAGGATGGAGTTCTTGACTTCAGCCTGTACCAACCCGGCTGTTGCAGCCACTTGGGGGGTGGACCACCAGATGGAAGAGCTCTGTTTTCTCCCTTCTGTCTGTCGCTCTGCCTGTCAAATACATAAATACTTTAAAAATAAAAAGAAAGAAAAATGTATAAATAGCGTAGTCCAGTTTTATCTTTTTTTTTTTAAGATTCTATTTATTTATTTGAGAGGTAGAGTTACAGACAGTGAGAGGGAGAGAGAGAGAGAAAGGTCTTCCTTCTGTTGGTTCACTCCCCAAATGGCCTCAGCAGCCGAAGCTGCGCCGATCTGAAGCCAGGAGCCAGGTGCTTCTTCCTGGTCTCCCACGCGGGTGCAGGGGCCCAAGCACTTGGGCTGTCTTCTACTGCTTTCCCAGGCCATAGCAGAGAGCTGGATTTGAAGAGGGTAAGCTGGGACTAGAACCAGCTCCCATATGGGATGCTGGTGCCGCAGGCGGAAGATTGGCCTACTGTGCCTATCTGTCTTTGAGTGGTAGATTTCTAGGTTTTTTTTTTTTTTTTTAAATTGGCCCTATATTTTTATTATTTATGTAAGAGACATATATTGTAAAATATAGGAAGTAGAGAATATGGCATTTCTTTTTAACTTATGTTAGCTTCTGGGAAAGGAAAAATATCCAACTTCTGTTTTTAGAGAAAAACTGTGCATAGAATCTAGTTACCTAAGAAACAGAGAATTTGGTAAGTTTATAGTACTTACTGTTTTGAACCACTGAATTCTTGGTTTTGAAATACATGATGTATATATTTTCTAATAAAAATAGGAAAAAATTATATGGCCTTAAAATATCCTTAGTTTGCCTATCATGCTCAGTTGAGAACTAAAGCAGTATTTACGTGCTGTTTTTAATGTGAAATACTCTTGCACAAATGTTAAGTAACTAACTGGCTTCACAGATCCACTGGCTGGCTGTGAATGGGCGGACAGAACTACTGCATGACCTTGTGCAGCACGTCAGTGATGTCGACGTTGAGGATGCAATGGGGCAGACAGCATTGCATGTAGCCTGCCAGAATGGTCACAAGACGGTAAATTCAGCCATGAGGACTTGAAGTTGCATGTATTTGTCATTGAAAACTTGAAATTCATGAAAAACTTTTCACTGCATACTCAGGAACATGAAGCATTATAGCATAATCTTAGTTCTGCACATATTCTTTGAGGACAGAGGAATGGAAATAATGCTTTTATATCTCAAAATATTTATAATTTTATTTCTGATTCATGCATTTTAGTAGCTAAAATATTAAATTTTAGAATGTTATATGCTAACATATAATCTTATTAATTATGATATATACTCTGTTTTCAGTTTTAGCCAATAACTTCTCCATATTTTTTTCTTTTTGTCATTAAGCACATTTACTGGTATTAGGTAGTGAGGAAGGTGAACACCAACACTGCTTAACTAGTTCAAGTTGGATTGTCATATTTTCTGTGTTCTTGCTACAGGATTTAAGTGCTAGAGTGACAGTGACAGTTTTTTTTTTAAGGTTTATTTTATTTATTTGAAAGAGTTACAGAGAGAGGTAATGACAGAGAGAGAGAGGACTTCCATCTGCTGGTTCACTCCATTCACTGGCTCACTCCCCAAATGGTCTCAATGGTGGAGCTGGGCCATTCTGAAGCCAGGAGCTTCTTCCGGGCCTCCCATGCGGGTACAGGGGCCCAAGGACTTGGGCCATTTTCTACTGCTTTCCCAGGCCATAGCAGAGGGCTGGATCGCAAGTGGAGCAGCTGGGACTTGAACTGGTGCCCATATGGGATGTTGGCGCTGTAGGTGGTGGTTTTACCTGCTATGCCACAGCACCGGCCCCAGCTTTAATTTCATATTGTTTACGTTGAGCTTTTTTCTGTGTTTAAAATTATTGATAATAGGCCGGCGCTGCGGCTCACTAGGCTAATCCTCCGCCTTGCGGCGCCGGCACCCCGGGTTCTAGTCCCGGTCGGGGCACCGGATTCTGTCCCGGTTGCCCCTCTTCCGGGCCAGCTCTCTGCTGTGGCCAGGGAGTGCAGTGGAGGATGGCTTGAGTACTTGGGCCCTGCACCCCATGGGAGACCAGGATAAGTACCTGGCTCCTGCCATCAGATCAGCGCGGTGCGCAGGCCGCAGCGCGCCGACCATGGCGGCCATTGGAGGGTGAACCAACGGCAAAGGAAGACCTTTCTCTCTGTCTCTCTCTCTCACTGTCCACTCTGCCTGTCAAAAAATAAAAAAATATATATATATTGATAATAGAATATATTTACTTATTAGCCATAATAATAAGAATCAACCCTAGCAGCAACTACAAAGATATAAAGTTGGTTTTTTATTTGTTTATATTTTTGGTGCAAACTCTGTATGAGTCTTCTCTTTTTTAAAGTTTTTTGTTTTATTTATTTGAAAGAGAGAGGGAGAGAGACAGATACCTGCCATTTGCAAACTTACTCCCCAAATGCCCACAACAGCTGAGGCTGTGTCAGGCTGAAGGCAGGAGCTGGGAATTCAGTCAAGGTCTCCCATGTGGGTGGCAGGAACTCAAGAATTTGAACCATCACTTGCTTTCTTTCAGGGTGAGTATTAGCAGGAGATTGGACTTTGGAATGGAGCTGAGTCTCGAACCCAGGCACTCTGGTACAGGATGCAGGTCTCAAGCAGTGTCTTAACTGCTGTGTCAGATGCTCTTACTCCTGTGTTGGGAATATTCCTAGTGGAAATTGAATTCCTTTTTTCAAAAAAGATTTATTTATTTGAAAGGCAGAATGAAGGAGAGACAGAGATTTTCATCCATTGGTTCATTTCCTTTTTGGCTGTGGGAAGTAGATTCGAACTGGCACCTATGTGGGATGCCTATGTTCCAGGTGGTGGCTTACCCTGCTGCAAATCAACATTGGCCCCTAGAATCTGAATTTCTGTCTCTTCAAACACTTTCTCCCTAACCTGGGTTTGGGATGCAGGATCCTGGATGTTTATGTGCTTTAAATACGGCCATATTCATAGACCATTGGACTTCTTAAAGATAGGCAAGGGTTGAAACAAGGAATATCCTATCTTTTTTCTCTTTCCTGGAATTTCTTCTGCACATCAATGTTCATTTGAATTTTTTGTCTTTTATCATCTGAAAGCTACCACTATTTTCAAAGAGTATCACTTCTCACAAGTTCTTACTTTCTCAGCAGTATTGAGTTTAAAAAATATTCTGTGTGAATGGCCCAGGGCTTTAAGGAACTCTACTGCATATTAGAGCTGTTTCCCACAGAGAGCTTTCAGAGGACAGAAAAGCACTTTGTTTCTATATAAACACTCTTTGCTGTAACACATGAGCAGAGTTTCATTTACCAAGACTTCTAAACCCTATGAGCTGTCCAGGAACTTGTACAGGAAAAAAAAAATCGACGGGGATTTAGATTAGAATGACCTACAGAAGGCAATTTTAGGTGCCTTGAACTAGTGTAGAAGCAAGAACTACTTGGAAAACTGGCTCAAAACATGTGCTATCTATGCTGCATTTGAAATTGAGAATTGCCTTAGAAAGTTATTGAAAATTAGATGGTATAATATATTCCATGATTTATAGCCTAAAGCAGGTGTGATAAAGCACTGAATTCATCTTGATCAGATGCCTTTGAACAATTGTATGCTCAGAAATTTTTTAAGGAGCCTGACTTCACTGCAGTGATGAGTTTCACAGGGTGAGATTTTACAGATACAGACGAGGCACAGCATGAAAAGCTATGTTGCCTGTACTTGTTGTATTGGCTAGTGAGATTCATTCTATAGTGCGGTTGGTCAATTATAGTTACCTCTAAGGATCCTGTACTGATACAGTGCTTGCTTAGCACTGACTATTTCAGAATCATTCTGTTTATCTGATGTTTTTTCTGTTGGGATGAGAAGGAATCTTAGTCTGTTTCCTTGCCTCTGGACTGAATTATGCTTCTAAAAATCTGTGTTAACAGTTGTCTTAATATTGCCCTTTTTTCAGAATTATTGATGTGTTTCTGCAACATACTCAACTTTCACTGGATTGGCAGATCCTTTTATTTTAAGTTGACAGTGATTTATTGGTATGCAAAATATGATATGTTATTTCATGGTAGGGATTGCTGATTTGAAAAAAAAAAAAAACCCTTTGTGTATCTATTCATTAGTTGAACACTGAATCTAAAATAATTTGTTAGGGGGCAGCATTTGGTGCAGCATTTAAGCCACTGCTTGGAAAACCTACTCCATTATCAGAGTGCCTGGGTTTGAGTCCCAGATCCATGTTCCTGCAAATGCACATCCTGGGAACAGTAGATGACTCAAGTACTTGAGTCCTTACAAGCACGTAGGGGACCTGGATGGAGTTTTGGGCTCCTGGCTTTGTTCAGGCCCAGCCCTGGCTGTTGGCAGGCATTTGAAGAGTGAGCCAGTGAATGGAAGATCCCCCCCCCACCCCCTTCTCACTTCTCTCCTCATTTCTCCATCACTCTCTCTGTTGTTCTTCATATAAAAGTAAATTAAATAACTTAAAAATGATGAACTTTTTCTTTAAAAAAATGTCTTTTTTGTCTCAGAGTAGTTAATTCTTAGATTAATTTGTTAAAAAGTTTCCAGGGGCAGGTGTTAAGATGTCCACATCCCACATTGCAGTACCTGGTTCAACTCCTGGTTCCTGCTCCTGACTCTACCTTGCTGCTAATGGGGACCCTGGGAGGCTGTGATGATGGCTCAAGTGATTAGGTTTCTGCCACCCACTTGGGAGACAGGATTGTGTTCCTGGCTCTTGGCTCTGGCCCTGACCCAGACCTAGCTGTTGCGGTTACTTAAGGAGTGAACCCATGGATAGAAACTCTCTCTCTTTCTCTCTCAAATATATAAACAAGCCTTTGAAAAAAAGAATCTACTTTAAAAATAAAAAAGTCTCCAGAATTTGTGTCCATGTAAACATGAAATCAGCATATGTAGGTTTCAAGGTTTTATTTTTAAGCTTAAAAGCTTACATATTGATATCTATAGAATAAATATATAAAACTTTAAAGGGGAACAGAAACTTTGAAAATATTTTAAAAAGCATATGCATATCTGCTTTTTTTTTTTTTTTTTTTTATTTGAAAGGCAGAGTCAGAGAGAGAGAGAGACAGAGAGGTCTTTCATCTACTGGTTCACTTCTCAAATGGCCACAACAGCTGGTGCTGGGCCAGGCAAAAGCCAGGAGTCAAGAACCCCTTCGAGGTCTCCCATATGGTGGCAGGATCCCAAGCATCCGGACCATCGTTCACTGCCTACCCAGGTGTATCAGCAGGAAGCTGGATTGGAAGTGAAGTAGCTGGGACTAGAACCAGTGCCCATATGGGATGCTGGCACTGCAGACAGAGGATTAACCCACTGTACCACAGTGCCAGCTGAATTTCTTTATTATTTCAGCATTTTAATTTGATAAGAGCAGGAGCCAGTATGGTGGCATAAGTGGGTTATGCCGATACCTGTACTGCTGGCTTCCCTTCCAGCAGTACTGCTACTCCACTTCCACTGCTACTCCACTTCCAGTCCAGCTCCCTGCTAATGGCCTGGGAAGGCAGTAGAAGATGGCCCAGGTTTGTGGGCCCCTGCACCCACATGGAAGACCTGGAAGAAATTCCTGGCTCCCGGCTTTGGATCGTCTCAGCTCTGGCCATTGCGACCATTTAGGGAGTGAACCAGTGTATGGAAAACCTCTCTCTGTCTCTCTCTCTGTCTCTCCATCTCTCTGTCTGTGACTCTGCCTTTCAAATATAAATAAGTAAATCTTAAAAAAAAATTATCTGAAATTTGCCTTCTAATCTTACTTGAGAATGAATTTCAGGAGTGCATGAAAAGGTGCTGACCAACTAGCTTAGAGCCCTAAAGCTTTGTAGAATTTATAACAGTGCTATATTCTTGCTTTGGTAGCAAGCAGTGCTTTTTCAGACATACATGACTTTTTTTTTTTTTTAAAGAAAATATTTGGATAAAGTTTTACTTTTCTTCATAACTAAGAAATTGAGTAATCTTTGCTGTGATTTCATATAGATGGCATCTGTT